GGGCCTGTAATCCTGGGGGCCACTGGGACGTGGCGTCTTTGGTACAGGGACGAGGCATGATGTCTTCCACAGCACTGGTACCCTCTGCAGACTCACCATGAACAGTTTATGAATCCAGGGTACTGTGCTCCTAACAACAAGCAGGGAAAGCTTTTGTGCTAATGTTGCAAAACAGTCGAATGTCAGCTTTAAAAACATGCACGGCTATGAAGGAGGAAGTTTGCGAATGTGCGGACAGATGAGGTTTGTCTGCAGTCCTGCTGCTGTGAGCCCTCCACCTGCTTCCTGTCAGACTAGCTAGCGTCATGAGCACTGTAAAAGTTAACATCAGTGATTTGCTTTTTAACATCTGCTTTTGGACCCAGCTGACTTTGTGCTGGAACAGAGACAGCTTCATGCTGTCACCAGCAATGATTTCATCTGCCTGTCTGCAGGAACTGATGTAGATTAACCACGTCTGGTCCTCCGGCCTCCACGGCTGTAGCTCGGGGGGTGGAGCAGGTCACATCCTGATTGGAAGGTTGGCAATCCAGTAATAACATACATGTACACAGCTGTTATATTTTAATCTGACCGAGGCCAACAGATAAAAGTCTAACAGTATTTATTTAAGGGTTAATATTGTAGTTCCTGCAGCTCACCAGCAGAGGGCGAAGTCTGACGTTGATCTTGCTGTGAGAAACAGACACGTGATGATGTGGTTATAATAATAATAATAATAATAATAATAATAATAATAATAATAATAATATTGTAATCGTCTCTGTGCCATGTGAGGGGATTTTCCTTAATGCAGGAGAAATTATCTCCACGAAAAGGAACAGGTTCTCTTCTTAAATAAAAATGAAAAAGGGTTACTTTAAATGCATCAGGTTTTTAATTTCGAAGTTCATAAGCATTTTCCAGTTCAAAATCAATTCTACCCCCAGGTCCAAAAATTTATATAGGAAAAATTCCCTAATATATTATTTATAAATATACCCGTCTAGCGATTAATTGCATAAGTGCATGGAGGCAAGACCTCAGAGCATACTCCATAATGTGTTGTACATTATTATATGTATATTTTATATGTAATGTGGTATTTTTCAATTATTTTATGTACCAACATCAAGACGTCACAAGCAAAGAAAGACCACACCATGGTGCATGTTTAAACAGGGAGAGTTTACTGGTCAAAATTATTTATTAAACAAATAAACAACATTTTTTTTAACCTCCAAAAAATACACGTTCAAAGCAACACAACAGCCCGATATCAGACAGAACTCCACTCTGTAGAGTGAGCAATCATGAAGCGGTTGGTTTTATTTTGTGGATTCAAGCTGCTCTTCATATTTTTGGCCACCAGATGTCACCAGAGAGGACTGTGTTGAAAAGCTTCGAGTAATGAAGCGTTTTTCAATACAAGCTTCAAAAAGCTTCATTTGGCCGTCACTAGTGTTAGGTGACGGCTGTGTGCAGGCAGGAGTAGCAGTAGGACCCAATGTGCAGACAGTCGGAGACGGAAAGTGAACTCAAAACAGCTTTAATGCTGAACTCAAAAGGGCAACAAAACTGAGAACACAAAATAACCTTACGCAGACAGAACACACAGAAAGATGAGGGTAGATCACGACAAACTGAAACACAGGGCTTAAATACACAGAGGGAGCAATCAGAGAGTGGGCAACAGGAGGGAAACACAGCTGGGGCACATGAGGCCTAACGAGACAAAGAAAGCAAAACCAGACGATTTACATGAGACACGGTTTGTGGTCATTTGGAGATCAAGCTGAATTTACTGTATACTTCATATTCACCTTCCTATGTTGTGATTGGAGGATTCATTTTTGCTTTGACCTTTTAACAGATGTTCATTTGCTCCAAGACTTTTTGCTTGTCAGGTTATTTTTCTACAAGTGTACAATAATTATAAGGAATGACCAAATTCAATTACATTAGCCCTTTAATCATATTTGGGTTATGTGTTCCTGCATTGTTGCCCCTCTGCCACAGCTGCAGACGGGTTTGCCCTCCTCCACGGTTATTCTGCTGGTTCTGAGCTGAGGCAGCTCTTTGAATACGGGGCAAATATAAACAATGAGGACGGGGGCACAGCAGGATGCTGTCACTCCTTCACAGAAGATCTGAGTGAGCGAACACGTGCACACGACTGTGCACAAACACAGCAACCGCTGGTCCTTCATCATCATCATCAGTCTGAGCTCACCTGAGAGCCATAGCTGCAGGTATAATAATAATAATAATAATAATAATACATTTTATTTGAAAGCGCCTTTCAAAACACTCAAGGTCGCTGTACACTTAAAAGCAACATAAAAGCAAGAAGTTTACAGAATCATAAAAGCGTAGGACATAAACAAAATAGGAGAGTGGAGAGGTTATGTGGGATAAGCTATTTTGAACAAGTGGGTTTTGAGTTTGGACTTAAAGAGAGAGAAGGAAGAGATGTTTCTTAAATCAGGAGGTCGGGAATTCCAGAGTCGCTGAAAGCCCAGGAAGGGACGGAGAGAGAAAGGGAAGAAGAAGATCTGAGACAACGAGATGGGGCGGTGATCTTAACCAGGTCAGAGAGATATGGAGGAGAGAGAAGATGAACAGCCTTAAATGTGAACAAGAGTATTTTGAAATTGATGCGATATTTGACCGGGAGCCAATGAAGCTGCTGCAGGACAGGAGTGATGTGGTGGGCAGAAGGGGTCCTGTGATGATACGGACAGCAGAGTTCTGGACGCGTTGGAGCTTGTGGATGGTATTCATCTCAAACACCTAGAGCACGAAACTCCACCAGCTTTAAACGTGATGGAGTTTAAAAGTTTGTCTTCGAAACAGGAACAACATTGGAAACCATCCCGACGTTCATTCTGGGACGTGTTTATTCTGGGACGTGTTTGTTATAATTTCTGGGAATTGTCAGTGAATGACAGCTG